AATAGTATTTTTAGAGCACTTTGAAGTATATAAAGGTCTTTACAAATGTTATCTTGTTTTATCCTCAGAAGAAACCTGGGAGATAGGTGCTATTTATTATTCCCATTTTGCAGATGAGACAATTGAGGCAGAGAGGTTAAGTGATCACATATCTAGCAAGATGTGAACTCAAGTCTTCCTGACTCTAGGTCCACCACTCTATCCACTGCACCATCTGTGTAGCTGCCTAGGTAGTATCTGAGGTTTCAAGCTCTGAGATTCTGTGATGGAAGGATAATTACAGACTAAGCATGTCAACCAGAGAAGGCTGGGATAGGTGCTGGGGTGCAGATGAGGACCCATTTCCAAAGTGCTTCCTCTGTCTGAGGTGACTGGGATTCTCTAAACTGATGACTCACCCACAAAATGTGGCATAAAATCCATCATCCAGGAAGTGCGTGATTGTCTAAGGAGGTGGGTTAGTCATGTAGCAAGAGAGAGGGATAGCAGATGGATAATCTCAGTGCTGCATTTCAGCCCACAGAGTGTGAAAAGATCTAGGGAAGTGCCCTCAGTGCATTGGATAGATCTCCCTCTGTGCCTAAGCCCTGGGGGGTTGAGGGAAGCCTCCACACACCTGGAGTGCTATCCTTCCTCACCTCTGCCTCTTATACCCCTTGCTTTTTTCAGGGCTCAGCCTCCTTCCATTGGAGGCCTTTCCTGTCCTCTCCTATGGTTAATGCCTTCCCCTCTTAGATTACATTCCATAAAGTCTGTATATATTTTGTATGTAATTTCATGTATATATGAATCTCCTGGTATCAGGTAAACTCCTTGAGAATAAGAATTATTTTCACTTTTTCTTTGTATTTCCATCACTTAGAATAGTGTTTGGAGCATATCATAAATGTTTACAAAATGCTTGTTAAATATTGAAATATTTTGAGTAGATGCCAAATGAGTTGGAAGGAGGAAAGCCTGGAATCAGAACAAGCCAGTTTAGAAGATGATGCAGCAATTTAAGAGTGAGACTATGAGAATCCAGACTACAGTATGGTGCTAGGGGCAATGGAGAAGGGTTGGGTCTTAGATGTAATTCTTCAGAAGAATTCATGTGACTGACTGGATAGAGAGGAAGCAGATGGAAGAATCAGAGATGACTTCCAGGGTGGAAGCCTAGGTGAAGGGGAAAATAATGATAAAAATGATAGTCAGGGACATCAGTGGATGGGGAAGGAATGAGGAAGAGTTCCAACTGGGAATACTGTTTCAAGCAGCAGTAACATGATCCAGTGAAAATGGACAGTGGGACTTTGTGATGTAGAGTTGGCACTCATGTGAAAACAGATTAAACTTTTGGAATCTTCAGCACAGAGAGGAAATTGAAGCTCTGGTTTTGACAGAGCATTCCAAGGGAGTTTTGTAGTTAGAATAACAAAGGGCCAAGGAATGGGTCTTGGGAAATATTAGGAATGATGACAATCATGAAAACCACCACCACCACTACCAGTTCTATAGCAAGTTAAGATTTACAATGCCCCTTCTCCTCACAGCAACCTGTAGACATAGCAAGCATTAGGACTCCCATTTGACAGGTAAAGAAACTGAGGCTTTTTACTAGCTGTGTGACTCTGGGTAAGTCACTTAACCCCGATTTGCCTTGCCCCCCCCAAAAAAAAAGAAACTGAGGCTCAGAGAGTTTAAGTGACTTGATCCTCTAAACTGATGATTCATCCACAAAATGTGACACAAAATCCATCATTCAGGAAGTGTATGATTGTCTAAGGAGGTAGTTTAAGTGATCTGTGAAGGGTCAGGTCACAAAGCATGTTGGAATCAGGATTTGAAACAAAATCTCCTGACTCCAGGTTTAGGAAGCTCTTTCCTGCTTTCTCAATGGAACCCACTAGAGCACATCACCATGGCAGTGTTTTCAGAAGAACATTGAGGAAGATGTCTCTACTCAGCTCAATGACTGATTTGTAGTTTTTTGGGGTTAACTCAATCCTAAGCTTGGTCAGCCCAAGGAAAACTGAGGCCCAGAACTAAATCTTATGGAACTGAGAGAACCATGGTGCTAGAGGCAGAAGCAAGAATGTTTGAACATGATAGTAATATGTCCACTCCAATCCTTCCTTCTCTATTCCTCTTTATCCATCTCTCAACTCAGTGTTGGGGATGAAGGGTAGAGTGAATTAGCTGTTTCCTTCCCAATAGAGACCCCAGAGGTGTGGGGAAATTGAAGTACTGAATACTTACGGATTTTGGTGCAGGCTAGATGATTATAACCTGGAGAGAGAAAGAGAGAGAGACACCTTGTGAGGAAAGACAAAAGCTTGAGGAGAGAAGATCTGGGGTCCATAGGTTCGGGAAGTAGGGGAGTAAAAGTGTAAGAGCTAGTGCTGTTATTAAAGGGAAGAAGACCCTGGTCAGGGATTGGTTATACACTTCAGGCAGCACAAAAATTTCCTCCTCTCCAAAGATCTCATTGATACCTTAGTCTCTAATTATGTGCTGGCTTAAGACATTCTCAGAGAACAGCTAACTTCCCAAGAAAAAGCATGAAAGAAGTCTGAGTCATAGCATCCTTGGATACTGAGTAAGCAAGAGAAAGAAATCTGGGTCTCAAAAAAAGAGAGTGAATTGGAGACACATGTCCCAATCCCTTGAAATGAGGAACTAAAAGAAAGAAGTTCATTTGAAGACCTGGGCTACTTACCATTGGATGGATGGATGGATGGATGAATGGATGGATGGATGGATGGATAGATGGATTAAAAAGCAGGTATCAGGCACTTACTATATACAAAGCACTGCACTCACCATTGACGTAGAGACTTTCCTCATCTAAGATGTAGGGTCCCAGTCTCGTGAGCCAGCAGGTCTGGCTGCTGAATTCCCAATACAGTTTTTCTCTATCTAGGTCAGGGCTGGCAGGATCTATCCGATGAGCACAAGCAATAATAACTCCGGTTGCTTTTCCCTCCTTCAAAGGCCTGGGAAAGAAGGCAAAAAAGGCATCAGAAGCCTGAAATGGGACCTGAAAAATCTGATAACTCCTGAAGTCAGGGGGCAGCCACCCTTGAGAAGCCTGAGGCAAACACTGAAATGGATGATGGTTAAATGAGGCAACAGTGTTGTGTCTCACCGGGTCTACTTTAGAGAATTTGTAGGGAACTGCCAAAATTCCAAGTCTGAATTCCCCTCCCTGAGACTATGTGGCAAGAGGATGTGGATAAATTCATTGAGGAATTGGAAAATCTCCCAGGACCTATGTTATAGCAGGGTGGAGACACCTCTTTTCTGAAGGTACCACCAATCGGTACCATGCCTGATGAGGCCATTGACTCCCAGGAATCTCACCTCAGCAAGGTCAGCTTGCATCCAGTATAATGAGAGCCAAGGCTGGTCTTTGTAAAGACAGAATCAAGCTGGAAGTAAAAGGAGAGAGTGGGCCTTCTAGATCAAGCCTCAATACCAAGGCTGAGGAAAGCAGCTTGGCAGAGGGGACGGAAGGGGGTCATGTCTCACCAGGCACTCCAGGGCACTCTCCACAGAACTGAATTTGCTGGAGCCAAAGTGGCTCATTCCTGTTGCATATTTCAGATTGGTGACAGTGAAATTTATGGTAAAAGTATCAAGGCTGAAGACCCTGGCTACAAAAAAGAGAGGGAGAGATGTCTGACATGCTGCCTGTGTGTCATTCAGCACATTCAGGGATGCCCAGGTGGTGTTGTCCTTAGGAGGAAAATTACGTGTCCTGTCCCTATTAATTGCATCCATGAGGGAACCCTCTAAACTTTGCTCAGCCTCTCCCACCTCTCAACATCATGACCAACACAGGCTACTATGTAGGAAGGAGAGACATCTCCATGCCTGAACTTCAGAAGTGTTCATTCAAATGAGCTAATATCTCTAAAGTGCTTTGTGAACCCTAAAGTACTATCTAAATGATAGATGATAATAATGTTCACCATCACCATCATCATTAAGGACACCCAGCTGAAACTATCCTAGTCCTTCTTCCAAGGAAAACTCAGCAGACTGAATTCACTAATGAGTCTTTCAGGAAACCTTTAGCCATAAACCTATTCCTCTGGCAACTCAATGCAGTGGAAAGAATGTTGGATTTGGAGAAAGAAGTCATGGGTTCCCACCCTAACTGTCCTGCTTTCTACCTATGTGACTTTGGGCCTCCACTTCTCTCTGGGCCTCAGTGTCAACTGCAAAATGAGGGCAAGAGTTAGACTAGATGACCTGGAAGTTTCCTGCCAGCTCTAAATCTGTGATCTTAAGATCTCCTATCTCTCAGTCTTATGTCCAAATGTAGCACAACTTTCCCAGAGAATGGATCAAAGATGGAAGCAGACCTTACCTGTGGATGGAGCTGGAGTGCTGGTTCTGAATATTGAACCTGAAGGGAAATATCATGAATGAAAACTGTGGACCAATTGTCCATGTGACAAGGAGGGGTATGGACTGTAAGAGACAGGGAAAATGCACTCCATTTGGCTTGGCCACTGAGTCAACTGGTGGAGACTGAATTACGAGAATGAGGGCGACGTGGTGCCTTCCTCTCTCTTTTACATCCGTGGTCCATCCTCTCTTTCCCAGGATGCTATGAGAACAGGGTTGGGACGGACAAGTGGTGTTCTCTGTTTGCCCCCAGGATAAGAATACTCATAGCCTGTGGTGGAGGAGAGGGCTATTCGATCATTGTAACCTGCAGAGAGAGAGAACAACCATGGATGAAGGGGACTAGGATTTTGAGAAAGGATTAAGGAGAAACATGAGAGAGAGCATCTGAAGCCAAAAAAGCTGAAAAATATGGGTCATCAGCTAAGAGAGGATTTCACAAAGTGGTTCCCAGGTCAGGAGTCCATCTGCCCATGTAGGGTTCTTAGGCTTACCTCTGTGAGACCTCTGCTTCCCCTCAGACTCCAAACACATAATAGGAAGGTACTTTCAGTAAGACAGGTGCCATTGAAGCAAAGCTGGATCCTCATAGGCACAGAAAATTGCTTTGACAGGTGAGGGGCTAAGAGGAGTGGGACCAAGCATGGAGGTCAAGGAACTGCATGTCCTGGGCAGGGTTGGCTGCTCACCATTGATGTAAAGGCTCTTCTTGTCCAGGGTGTAGGGCCCCAGCCTGGTAATTTTACGGGTCTTCTTGCTCAGCTCACAGTAAATATTCTTTCTTTCCAGAATGGGGACGGTGTGGAATTTCCAATATGTACAAAGGAAATTCAGTGTAGTGTCTTTTTTCACAGACCTGAGAAAGGACACATTGGTAATGACTGTGACCTATCTGGCTTGACACAGGCATGCAAAAGTTAGCTGCAGTGAGAAGGAATCATCAATGTTCTACAAAGTAATTTGGCTTTATTAAGGATAATAATTTATCTTAAAAAATTTTTTGCTAGACCCTTCATTTTATTAAAGAGCTGGGGGCAAGAGAGGGCATAGACCTTCCTTGACTAATACAGGTTAGCATCTTCCCTGCAACGTATTGACTCAGACCATTACCTGGAGAAATCAGATGATCTGCCCAGGGTCACACAGCCGGTCTGTGTCAGAGAGGGGACCTGAACTCAGGTCTTCTTGACTCTTGAGACCTGCTCTCTAACCCACTACAACATGCTGCCTCAATACAACTAATGGAAATACAGGGCAATAATTGACTTTTAAACAAAGTCCTTTCAACACATAATACAGCTTTCCAATCACTTCCTCTAAAGAGTTCCATCAGGATTATTTGTTCATTGATTCTCTCTCTCTTTCTTCTTTTTGTTGATGTATTCAGGGCAAAGTTTGTTTTTCTGATTTTGTTATTTTTTTTACTTTGCATTTTTTGATAAAGTTCTTTCCATATTTCTTTGTAGCTAAGTGGTACAGATGACTGAATGCCAGGCATGGGAGTTAGGAAAACCTGAGTTCAAATCCAGCCTCAAACATTTACTAGCGATGTTGCCCTGGGCAAGTCATTTAACCTCTACCTGTTCCTGTTTCCTCAAGGAGGAAAGTAGAGATAATAACAGCACCTACCTCCCAGGGTGGTTGTGAGGATCAAATGAGGTACTATTTGTAAGACACATAATGGGATACACAATGCCTGGTACACAGTAGGTGCTTAGCAAATGCTTCTTCCCTCCCTTTCCCTTCCCCATTCAGAGAAGCACAGAATTTAGAGTTGGAGGAGCACTCAAGGGTCAGCTAGTCTATCTCATATCTGAAAGAAATAACATCAAGGCAACCAAGTGTTCTCATCTGATCTCACTACTTATCTTGGGAATAAATTTCCTGTTAGTCATTTTTGTTCTGTCATTTCTAGTACAAAAATCATCCACTTTGACAGAGAAAACAAGCAAAAAAAAAAATCAAGCTCTTCTGCCTTCTCTTTCTGTGGTCAGTCATCATCATCTCATCCACCCCCAGTTAGCAAGCCTATCCCATGATCCTTCTGTTCCCTCAGCACAGCTTTTAAAAGAACCCTCATTTTGTTTGCTTGGCTTTGCATTCAACCTCCAGATCACTAGAAGTATTAGCCCTCCAGACACTATTTTTGCCTGACTCTGCTATTCTTATAGTCTTCCTGTTACCTCCTCTTCGGAAAATAGTCTAATACTCAAGTACTTTGCATATATCTAATTTTTTTTAAATCCAAGATAGTTGGTTAGCTCCTTGCGCATCCACTTCAATCTCTCCTAACAACTCCCATTTTTCTGCCTCATTGGAACTGTTTCACCTTCTGTGTCTTCAGAAGTTCATTCTTGAGAGTTTCTTATTGTTCCTCATATAATAGGGGGCTGAAACCTGGGTCGCATGCTGAACCTTGTAGTTCAGGGGGACAAGCATTCCCTCACAGCCCTGAATGCAATTAATCTTTGAGCTGGCAGGGGGACTTGAGATCAGGAGTTAGAGAGGGGGTGGAGGTGGGACAGAGGAAGGGATGGAAAGAGAGAGGGAGGGAGAGGAAAAGAGGGGAGAAAGGAGGGAGAGGGAGAAGGGGGAGAGAAGGAAAGAGAAGGGAAAGAGCAAAAGGGAGAAAGTGGAGGGAAGAGGAAAAAGGGAGGGAGAGAAGAGTGGAGAGAGAGAGAGAGAGAGA